GAACACTACTCTGAGGAATGCTTTCGAGTGACAGTTTGAGTTTCTTCACAACCCTATCGCTCAAAACTGGGATTTTCGATCCGCCATTGACCTTGGGTCCATACTTTAACAGGTTTTCCTGGTTGTTATAGCGTAAGATGTGGTAGCAACCATATCACGTGACATGATACCGGAGAGATTTAGAGATAAGAAACGAGATAATTGGAAGAAAAAAAAATACATGAACTGGAGGTTTTGGAAGAAGGACTTAAGTAGTATGTAAATATAACTACGAAAGAGTAGAACCTGAAAGTACTCCGAAATCGCAACTTTGCCTTTAACCTTCTCAGTAATAAACTTCGCGTGGATGCAGTAACTTGTCCACAAGTTCTGTGTTTGCGAGTGTATGAATGTGTGCATGCTGCCAAAGCAACTAGGAAGAGAACAGTTGGTTGAGGCAACTAGACCTACCGCACGGTAGTTTTGACTTGGAATGATTCTATTTGTCTGAATTAGTACTCAGATTGTCAGCCAGTGAATGGAGACAAATTTTATATCCTCGGGACTGATTAAATATCCCAATATGGAGTCGAAAATTTGATTATTTCCTGTCAATGGCAGTAAGACAACGAGGCCACGTCAATTTCGAAGCACTCTTCTAATATCCAATCCAATGTATTTTTCATGAGCTAGTATAAACCAGCTGGTTTCTTTGAGCTAGATTCTTGTTTTTTCGGTACGGTTCCAGGTATTTGGTTGTGATTTTTAAGGAGTGCGTTTGGTTCAGAATAGTACGTTTGATGGATACCAGCAGCTATCACGTGACCATGGCAAAAATCAGTTAGGTGTAATGTGGAGAATAATAATAAGAAAATCCTAATGCTCATAAGAAGAATATCTAAGAACTAAGCGTATAAATGGATGCACTTCCAGCCTTCAATGGAACGGAATCAGTGTCGAAAAAACAATTTCACCCTTTCAACCTCCAGTACTGTAACAGTATCATCTGAAGGTGCTGATATTGCGTTCTCTAGTAAGGAATTCAAATGTTTTTAGACATGATTCTAGATTCAGTCTTAGTTTGAAAAGATTGGTGGGTTGAGTAGCGTGTGTTAGCCCTGGCAACAGTTTTCTCTCAATTGATCCAACTTTAGTTCGAAAGCGTCTACTGACAAAGCGAATATATTGATGCCTTTCTATCGACTTTATCATATATTGCAGCCAAATGGGTGACCACTTTTATATTACCAGCGAATTGGATAATCTAGCGGTACGCCATTCGGAGACTAGATCACGTTATATCAGATACCTAATTTATAACTATGAACTTGAGTAAGCAACATGCAGTATTTTATTACTTAGGATTACAATTAGTCACACTCAATGTGTCCGGGGTAGAAATCATTATGAGGAAACGGAATCACTTATTTAATAGTCACCAGGCAGTGCCTATTAGTTCACTCTTGATGATCAATCACCCATCCCTCCAGTATCTTGTTTGTTCAGTACGAACAAGAAAATTAACTGACAAATAATTTGTTCTGGATTTTTGAGATTTTCTAGTCTTCATAAGCCCTCTGCTCTAGAAGACGTGGAAATTGGGGACATGACAGGTGAAAAAAATGTCAATAAATTTAAATACTATGACCGAATTACCTTTAGTTCTTCTACAATACGAGGGAAATAAGTTTATTTTGGACATTCATTTGTCAGATGCATCTTTGCTATTCCGAAAATCTTTGTCATTTTAGGCAAGGGTCGGCTGCCTGTATGCAGTACACAGGTTTAGGGCAAGCGCAAATTGAATATAGGGTCAAGAACTATTTATCATTGGCAAGGATACTGGCTCTTCGTTTGACCATATGGTCCTGAACCTAACTATCACGGGCAACTAGTAAGTTTGAGGGACATGTTTAACCTGTACAAAAGAAGTGCAACTTTTCTGTAAGAATCTGGTTTTCCTTTGGATGCTTAAAAGCTCCCAGCCATTCACCCTTTCTAAAAATGTCTCCACCCCTTTGTCTAAGCTTAAGGATCGATAGTTCTAAGGTTCGTCTTGCACTCTTATGAAGATAAGACCTACCATGGCATTCTTCCACTTTTTGGTGGTCTACCTTGGATTGCAGAAATTTTAAAACATATGCCTAGGTGATTCACAATGAAACAGGTTAGCTCGTTGACTAATTTAGGGTGTGTTTGATATGGCCACGTATTTTTTTCTGAATCCAGATTAGTTAATAGAAAAAAGACATTGAGTTCCTTCGTGGCATCAGTGTTCAGTGTTACGTCTGGAGGGATTTTCGTGAACCGAAGGGAAGGGTATCTTTACGGTATATACATCTTTAAGGCGATTGCAAGATATCTGACCATTGCCGTAATCATCTTCGAACAATGTAGTGTTACTGTCTGTGAATAACGTTGGGATGTTGCGTCTTAGTACTCTGGTTTAGGTGCGATTATAACCTCTTTGGATATTCGATAGACTACATAACTAGATTTTTTCAATACAAACTTCCAGACTTCTGGAGTTTCATCGCACAAGTGCTTCACTCTTCTCAATACTAAGGCTTTATCCCACACTTCCTACTATACTTTTGGTAATGCCCGAAATGAAGTCAGTTACGTCAAATTGAGAACAACGTTTTTGAAGCATAAGAAACAATAAAAAGTATAAATTTAACACAGCAGGACAAATAATATCCAGTAGTTTTGTGCAGAACTATTATAAACCAATAATTTTTTCGCTTTTGCTTCTTAGCGTTAAAGTATTGTTTCAGGTCTATGAAATCCTATAATTTGGGCAGTCCGGACACGTGAATACGCTTACGTGGTCGTTCATCCTGGGTCAGTGAATTTTCCGCTACTAGCACCAGTCATATTAAAGAATTGGAAACTGTCCTGCTTTGGTTATAAAGAGGGACAAGTAAAACATGGCAGTCAGAATCCATAGGTGAAAAAAAACAAGATTGGCAAACGGTAGTGGTTCTTTTAACAATAATATGGATAGTAATCATGATATTGATAGTGATGATGATGATGAGGTGGTACGAGATATTTATTGGGTACAGCTGTTTCAGGCGGATGATAAACCGTGGGCGAGTATTTTGCTTTGAAGTGTCCTTCTGAAGCTTTATGGTGAAATGACTGTGTTCATGCAAGTTGAGAGAGAATTTAAGATAAAGCTGATTCTTAATGAAAAGAAGTGTGAACCTGAGTATCAGTTCTCTGATTTGCAACTCGTCATGAACTCCTTTGTGTAGTATAATGATGATGTTCTCTTTGGACATTTCTATTAAGAAAGCCATTAGTATCTAGTATGCACTTCATCATTAATGAGTCTCCTTGTACTTTCCTGCAGTTTATCAAAAACTTCTAGGTGACTTCATAGGGTTTATTTCCTTTGATGATATAGCCAGCCTTTTGAAGCTCTTCTGCCCTGTTTCCCAGAGGTTTCTATTCCTTTGACCAGAACGAGGTGCTGTTTCGTCGCGAGGCTTGGTATGTGAGAGAAAACACGTTTTTTTATTCTTAGAAGGAGCTCTGCAGTCAACAGCCCCAAGCGTCTCTGGGAAAAATAGGGGGTCACATAAGCCCAGACTGCATCTGTAAAGTAGCTTTTCACTCTCCCTAAGCATTCTTGTATGTCTGCTTTATATTCATACGATGACGTTACGACTAAATCATCTACAGAAATATGGTCGATTGTACAGAAAGCTCTGCCCATACATTTTTGACGGGAGTGGTAGTTTCCGAAGTAGGTGATACTGTTCTAACGCTGATGTTGAAAAATTCTAACCTTGATGTTGGCTAATAGCCCTTTTGAGTTCTAGATGCTCTTAAAATGTAGGAACGAGCTCTTTGACTTGCCAACTCGTGTCTTCACTTCCAGATCAAATACTTCGTTTTTATCAACCGTGCTGTTCCTGTGTGTAGAGGTTCTGAAACCTTCCTGTGCTTCAACATCGAATGTAATCACGTCACTATTTTCCATGCTTCCCCGGAAATGTGGTCTCTATGAGACATCCGATAACAAAAAAGGAGGTTTTAGATTTAGATTAATTACCATCATATGGTAACCTAAAGCTATATCATATGTTATCACTGTTTTTACAGCTTCCATGGAAGTTTCAAATATTTTATTCCCACATATGTGACCGATCCAGTTCTTCGTCATATGATCGAGTAGACCACATGAAACCCTCTGCATGAGTTCGTAGATAGCTACCTGTTACTTCGTTGCTGAGACAACACATAACCACCGGTCTCTCGACAATCTCATTCCACTGCCCCTGACCAGATGGCCGCATAATGCATTGATACACGACCATCATTACATTAGCTTCCATTTCCTCAGGTGTTTTGTTGTGAATTTATCTATTATGAACTTCAGTCTCTCAAGAAAGTCATCTCTGTCACCAACGAAAAGGTAGTACACAAGCAGAAAGGATTTCACTATCAGATTTACATGTAGTATCTTACTCTGGAGATAACCAATTACACGTAACAGTGACAACAATCGACACCAATCAGCAAACACATAAATGTGAGATCAAGGTATTTAAGTAATCTCAACTAGAAGTTATCGAAGTAGAATTCGAGCTGGTTACGTTCGGATACTTTTGTAGAAAGCGCGTAACCCAGCTGTTTCAACCGATACTTAAACACTTACATAATTTGGTACCCTACAAGTATACTTTTATCGTACAATTATTTTCACTTTCGCCAACTATTGACTTAGTTGTAGGACATAGGTTTGCTGCATAGATTTGTTTGAGCTGTTCGATCGGCAACGCTCCCTATTGTTTCGTGCCGTTTGACCCTGTGTTTTGGATTAAAGTATTACTCTTCAAAAGTTTCACCTTCACTATACTGGAAAAACATAATCTCACCAATCATTTAGAATGAATACTACCTCAATCTATTACTGAGTTGTTCATGCTGGACGTCATTCCCCATAACAGCATCGGTTGTTTCCATGTTCCTGTCATGGGGCCCACAACTTTCGCTGGTCGTCAATAGTAATGGTGAGTTTTTTCTTGTGTGCTTAAGTAGGCAGCTGGGTAATCCTAAATTTGGTGGCAGACTGAGCTTAAGATGTGACAGCAGTCAAATGCGGCCGCATCCTCATGCGATTCTACTGAGGGATGTGGTTGTAAAATGCAGTAAAGAATATTCTATATTCATCGTTATATAGCTGTGAAGCTGGTTGAAATGGTCAGAAATTTAATTCGCTTTCTATAAGAGATCTTAAGCTCTATTTTCAAAATAACACGTAGTGTTTTCCAACCGGTTGGCTTCACGTAACTATAAAATGCTAGTCTATCCCCGCCAAAGGTGGGCGTCAAAGTGTAAAATGTACTATATTGCGTACCAGCTATTGCATACTAAACAGTCATTGGTCCTATCTGTAAATACTATGATCCTTCAGAATAATACCCTAATTTGTTTCCAGATTTGTTACGTTATTGGACATCTTATGTTGCTTTTAAATTCTATTCTTCTAAGTCTTATTTACTGTTTTTGCACGTTTGAGTTTCCTCTTAAGTCTTAGTCTTTGGCGTTGATAAAAATATTTCTGAACTGATTAATGGGTTCTATAACAATTGTTTTTAATTCATCATAGTGCTAATTGCCTTTTCGTAACTTGAGTTATCTTGGATCAGCATATTAGTGACGAATTTTAATAGTTCGTGTCAGTTATCCTAATCTTCAAGATCACTAAAGATATCACTTAACTTCAGGTAGTATTCAGAGATGGTAAATTTAATGAAACTCTAATGTCTAAATTCGTGCACTTGCTCATTTTCCTTTGTGATATTGATTTCGACCAGATTGGTCTCGTGCTGTTACGAGTATGGGGGCGGTTGTCACTTCCCGGCTGCCCACACCGTGGAAGGTTGATTCTTGAGGGACCTGAAAAGAAAGATAGATATGATATGATGGATTTTTTTCAGTATACCCCAAGGCAGCTTTTCATTTCATCAATTGTGAATGTAGGTCAAGAGCTCAGTCTTTAACTGTTTACCAAAACGTTTGTTTCTCACTGGACAGCATCGCTTTGACATTTGATTCATACTACCTGTTTATCATTATTCAAATCAGTGAGTCAACACGCTCAACCGCTTCACTCCCTATCACTAATTGAGATGCCGATGCAAGCCAATCCCGAAGCAACACTTTGCATTTCGAAGGGGATAATCGCATGCCAAACGTGCTTGCATTGTTGCTTAAAGTGTTAAGAAGACTGAATTTTGTTAGCGTCTTCACCAAATAGAACTATGCCATCGTCATATTCTAAGCCAACTAGTGAATCTCCTGATAGAAGTTCAACTCCTACAAAGTCAGACAATGACAGTATCATCTCTAAAAGCATCTCAATAACAGAGTTGAGTAAGAACGGAGAATGTGGACATCCTTGATAAATACCACTGGAGGTGATCAATTACGATGACAGTTCGCCATAAGCTCTCACTTGACCGGTAGTGTTTTAGTAGAGGTTGTATAAGTTAAATGTACTTCTCTGGTACACTTTTCAATGACAGACACTGCCATAGAACCTCACAATCGGCAGAGTCAAGTGCTGCCTCAAGGTCAAGTAATACAACTGTTGTCGGACGTGTAACTGTGTGTCTATGTTCTAGGACCTGTCGTAGTGTGAAGATGCGGTCTATGCAGCCACGTCCGGGTCTGAAACTTGCCTTGTTTTCTCTAGTCTGCTCTTCACGAGCTCTAGTTAGGCGTCTGAGTATAATCGAGGTTGATAATGTAGACACTAAATTAGTTAGCCTGATTCTCCTGTGATTGTCACAAGAGGACTTTTGTCCTTTCTTATAATTTGGGACAATCAAGGATTGAGACCAGTCAGATGGAATTACGTCCAGTTCTCGAATTCTACATAAGAAGTCAGGTAAACCATAAGGCTAGGATGAAGCAGTGGATTTCGGTCGCATCCATCGAACCGATGGGTGCTCGAAAACTCATCCCACCTGACTCTGAGGATGAAAAAGAGCGAAGTCAGCTTAAGCGCAGACTGATAAAATTCCTACGTAACGACCGCGAACAGTGGTGGGTGGCGAAAGCAAAGGTGAAGTAAAAGGCAGCGGCGAAAGGCAACACTAGACAACTTTTCCACCTTATTAAAGAAACCGGTATTAGGAACTCGAATGTGAGTGAGACTATCTCGGAAAAGGATGGTCTTATTATCCATTCTCAATCTAGGAGGCTGGACCGATGGGCAGAACACTTTAGGGATCAGTTCAACTGGCCTCGAGCCACACTTCGGTTGCCCACGATCTCCAGTCATCCTGAATGGCAAATCGATTTAAGTCCTCCCAGTTTACATGAAGTTGAGAAAGCTATAGGAAATCTAAGGGGAGGTAGAGCGACAGGTCCCGATAGGCTTACGCCCGAGATGTTTAAGGATGGTGGTCCGGTTTTAACGGTTAGACTGACCGAGATCCTAGGTAGAATCTGGGAACTGGATGTAATCCCATCTGACTGGTCTCAGTCGCTGATTGTCCCAATCTACAAGAAAGGACGGAAGTCCTCTTGTGACAATCACTGGGGAATAAGTCTAACTAATATAGTTTCTAAGTTGTTAGCCTCCATTATACTTAGACGTCTATCTAGAGCTCGTGAAGAGCAGACTCGAGAAAACCAGGATGGTTTCAGACCTGGACGTGGTTGTATAGACCACATCTTCACACTACGACAGGTCCTGGAACATAGACACACATTTAGATGTCAAACAATACTCGTGTTCTTGGACCTAAAAGCGGCATTTGACTCTATAGATCGTGAGGTTCTGTGGAGGTGGCTGTCATTGAAAAGTGTACCAAAGAAGTACATTAACCTTATACAAGCACTCTACTCGAACACCACTGGTCGGGTGAGAGCCTATGGAAAACTGTCATCTGAATTCTCTACATCAAGTGGTGTCCGTCAGAGCTGTCCACTCTCCATTCTTGTTTAACCTTGTCGTAAACATCCTCTTAGAGTTAATATTAAGCTCGTCAGATTTTTCAGGGGTTGACCTTCTACCAGGAGAATCGCTTGTTGACCTAGAATATGACATAGTTCCATTCGGTGAAGACGCTGACAAAATGCAGTTTTCTGAATATCATAAGCAACATTGCAAGCATGTTCGGGATACGGTTCTCACCCTCGAAATGAAAAATGTTGCTTCAAGATTGCGTTGAATCGGCACTTGAACTAGTGATAAGGAGTGAAGTAGTCGAACGTGTGGACCGCTTCACTTATCTTGGGAGTCTCATCAGTGCCGAAGGCCTGGTGACTGACGAAATCTCAGCTCGGATACAGAAGGCTCGATTGGCTTTTGCCAACCTGCGTCACTTATGGCGTAGGCGTGATATCCGTTCGCTAACCAAAGGGCGGGTGTACTGCGCAGCAGTTCGTTCCGTTCTCTTATATGGCTGTTAAACATGGCCGTTAAGAGTAGATGTTCGTAGGTTACTAGTATTCGATCATAGATGTTTAAGAAGCATTGCTCGTATATCGTGGGACAACCGAGTAAGCAATGCTGTCGTTAGGAAACGAGTACTAGGTAACGATGGCAGATCAATAGATGAAGTGGTGAAACTTCATCAGTTGAGATGGTTGGGACATGTGTTACGAATGCCCAACCACTGACTGCCTCGTCGAGCTTTGTTTTGTGGTGTAGGAGTAGATTGGAAGAAAGTTAGGGCGGCCAGACCAAAACATGTCAGAAATCCATGAAGTCACTGACAAGTGGACTGAGTCATGTCGGTAGATGTCGACTAACTGTTTGGGGTCCGCGAGATGATAATAATTGATGGTTAGAGACGTTGAACATGGCTCAAAATCGTTTGCAATGGCGCGAGTGCATCCATTCGTTGTGCTCTCTCAAATCCTAATCTGGATTCGTCAGCACCTCTACCTTTGTCTTTCTAACCTTATCTCACTGAATTATACTTCTTGAATAATATCTTCAAACCCTAGTCTTCTTCATTACCATTAATACCTCTACTATCTCTATCACTATGGGATTTGATTTGACATTTATGTCTCTGTTCTAATGTGGTATGGCAACCTGAACTGATGTACATACGTACGAAGTTCTTCGTTGCAACCGACTGAAGATCTCAGTCAGTTCAGCTGCTAAAACCACCATCCTTGGAAATCTCAGGGGTAAGTCTATCAGGACCCGCTGCTCTCCCTTGCTTCAGATTTCTATGGCTCTCTCAACTTCATAAAGAGTCGGAGGACCTACATCGATTTGCCATTCAGGATGACTGGAGATCGTGGGCAACCGAAGTGTGGCTGAAGACCAGTTGAACTGATCCCTGAAGTATTCTGCCCATCGATCGAATCTCCTGTATTGAGAATGAATAATAAGCCCATCGTTTTCCGGGATAGTCTCACTAACAGTCGGATTCCTAAAACCGGTTTCCCTGATGAGTCTGAATAGTAGTCTGCTGTTTGCGTTATTTTTTCTTGTCAGCGTTTTTTAGCGAGTTAGTTTTTACCGTATGCGGTCACGAAGCATAGCCGTCCTCTTTTATCCGGGCTTTAGACCGGCAGTAGCCTCGGAGGGTCGACAAGCGGAGTTAGCAGCTACGGTCGGGCCCACATCTATCTTATTTCTGATTTATATAACTTTTTGTAACTTCTAAAGATTTTATAAATTACCGATATCTTTTTGGCGACTGATAATCTGCTAGATATGAGTGTTTGTGATTACGTATGTTTGCTTCTTCATTTCGCGTTGTGTGGGATATTTCAATGTGAGAAACTAGGTGGATAAACATTTTGTGCGGAAATTGGTTTAAACAATTCAGTATGTTTACATTTTCTGGATTTATCCGTCCTTATAAACACTTTTGTAATACTGTGGCTTTTTATTTTTTTCCTTAGCTGGTTCAAAATCCTACCTTTCCATGGTTTGCTGTGACTGCTGATTATTGTCCATCCTCCTCTACTCAATCTGCTCAAACCCAGCCATTTGCACAGGTTTTTGGATTATCTGTGCCAATCACAAGAGTGCTTAGTCCTAAACGATCACTGAACCACTCTCATTTTACATTATTTCCGACTGGTCATAGTGTTGACACTCAAAGTCATAATCAACTGAGCTCTGGAGATTGCTGTTCTAATATTTTTGCACCTTTAATCGCTACCATGCCTCGTTACTCACGTTCAAATGAAAATCAGGATATAGATGTACCAGTTTTCACGGAGCCACTTGGCCCAATCGCAGCTGGATGCAAACGTGATGCTTCTGCAGTGTCAGCAAATTGCACTATTCTCCCTATTACTACAACAGCTAACATCCCATTGGATACTAATGATCAGTGCACTATTTATCTCCCACCAAAACCCAAAGAATCGGTGAGCTTTTATTTTCATTATCAGTTAGAAGAACAGTCTACCATTCTGGTGGTTTAGATTAATGTAGAGGTGTATCATCGCAGACATATTCTTATGTCGTCTTTCCATTCCTTATTCAGTTTGTGAGGACTTTGTCAAATATTATACACTTAATGACTTTTCAGTGTATCTACTCTCTCATGTTAATCATCATCAATCATCAATAGCAACGTAGAACTTTGCACGTAAGTACAGCAGCTCAAGTTGCCATACCACATTAGTACAGAGATATAATTGTCAATTCAAATCCCATATTAGTAGAGGTAGTAAAAGTATTAGAAGTAATCGGATAGGTTAGGGTTCGAAGATGTTAATCAAGAACTATAATTCAGTGAGGTCAATTTAGAAAGAGAAAGATGGAGATGATGAGGAATTCGGAAGTTTAGAATTTCATAGAACGCAAAGAGTAAATACACCTGCGCCACTGCAAAAGGTTTTGAGCCATGTCGTTCAACGTCTCTAACCATCAATTATTATCATCTCGCGGACCCCAAACAGTTAGTCGACATCTACCGACATGACTCAGTCCACTTGTCAGTGACTTCATGGATTTCTGACATGTTTTGGTTTGGCCGCCCCTAACTTTCTTCCAACCTACTCCTACACCACAAAACAGAGCTCGTCGCGGCAGTTGGTGGTTAGGCATACGCAACACATGTCCCATCCATTTCAACTGATGAAGTTTCATTATTTCATCACTTGATCTTCCATCCTTACATATCACCCGTTTCCTAACAACAGCATTGACGAGATGAGTGAAGCGGTCTACACGTTCGACTACTTCACTCTCTATCACTAGTTCAGGTACCGATGAAACCCAATTTTGAAGCACCATTTTGCATTTCGAGAGTGAGAACCGCAATCAGATATTGAGACCAGTCAGATGGAATTACGTCCAGTTCCCAGATTCTACCTAAGATCTCAGTCAGTTCGGCTGCTGAAACTGGACCATCATCCTTGGAAATCTCAGGGGTAAGTCTATCAGGACCCGCTGCTCTCCCTTGCTTCAGATTTCTATGGCTCTCTCAACTTCATAAAGAGTCGGAGGACCTACATCGATTTGCCATTCAGGATGACTGGAGATCGTGGGCAACCGAAGTGTGGCTGAAGACCAGTTGAACTGATCCCTGAAGTATTCTGCCCATCGATCGAATCTCCTGTATTGAGAATGAATAATAAGCCCATCGTTTTCCGGGATAGTCTCACTAACAGTCGGATTCCTAAAACCGGTTTCCCTGATGAGTCTGAATAGTAGTCTGCTTTTGCCTATCGTCGTTGCCTTATCCATCTCCCTTGCTTTCACTACCCACCACTGTTCGCGATCATTCCGAAGGCTTTTTATCAACCTGCGGCGAAGTTGACTTCATTTTTCATCATGTTCAGAGCCAGGTTGGATGAGTTTTCGAGCCTCTATCAGTTCGGTGGATGCTACCGAGATCCACCGCTTCTCCCGAGCCTTAGGTTTACCTTACTAGAAGATATCACTGCTGTTTCCACAGCCTTTTTGATATCATTCCAAGCTCCCTCAGGGTTGGCATCACTTACTACATGGCTGCCTAACTGTTTTTCTAGTTGTTCCTGAAATATATTCTTAGCTTTATTATCATTAAGTAGAGCCCTAACAGGTTTCCTTGCGAAACTTTTCTTGCGTCCAGTAAGGCGCAAACAAGAACGCACTCGCACTAGAGCATGGTCTGAGTCTAAACAATTGCTCCAGAATGGGTGGCAGTCTTCAACAAAGCCTCTCCACCGTTGGTTTATAACGGTGTGGTCTAGCTGGGTCCATCGTCGGGTCGGCTTCGGAAGTCGCCAGGTCAACAGATGTTTTACCTTATGTTTAAAGTTAGTGTTTGTTAGGAATAGGCGGTTGTCTGAGCATAGCTACAGCCGGTGGTCGCCATTATCTGTTCGATGGGCCGCGACACTATAAGATCCATCTAGGTGTCTTTCCACTGAGTCTACCTACTTGAGCATTACAGTCACCAGCCATTATTACAATATCTGAGCGCTTAACATTTTGGAGAAGTTTAGAGATGTTTCTATAAAACTTATGCTCTACGTCAGTCAGTGGGAGCGTAGGCAGATACGACGAAGAGGCAACGGCGAGCGTCCTTATCCTACCGATTCCGTACCGTCCCGCTTAGTTGGTTAGCGCACAAGCGACTATCTACTGGTTTTCTAGTCTAGGATAGCTAGTTCTGCCCTAAGATTTAATACTGTACCTACGCCGGCGAGGCCACGAGAGGCGGCATCTAGGCTGCTAGAAACACGAAGCGTAAACCTTGTGTCTCTATTTGCATTAGGTGAAATGAAATTGATGATTTTACTCGGATCTTGTATGCGCGTTTCGGAGACGCAACATTCATCGGTCGCCCGGGATTCTAGAATTCTAGCTAATGAAGCCTGTTACCCTATTTGGCATAGGGTTCGAACATGAAAAGCTCCTATATGTAACTCACTACGGGATTTCAAGAGACCATGAATAATGTTTCAAGAGCTCCTACCGTTTGCTTCAGTGGCGTGAGGTGATAAACGATCTAAATAAGGGTTGGTCGAGGAGGTAGGAAAGTTTTTAATAGGTGTAGAAAGGATTTGATTGTGACCAATTCGGTCGCGTCTGCTTTTATGTGTATGAGGGCGGATGTTACTTCCCGGCTGCCCACACCGAGGGAAGGTGTTTCTTGAGGAACCTGAAAGGGAAGGTAGATTAGTGTTGGTCTTAGAGACCTGGGAGCGTGACCTCAAAGCCGAAGGGACAACTTGTTGAGGCCGTTCACGCACGGCCTTTTTATGAAAGATTTTTTGAGTATTAGCTCCGCTCCTAAAAGCCCTTAGTGGGCACTCTTACCCAAGGAGACGGAAATCTGTGAGGTAGGGTGAGGTATAACAGTTCTAGGGTCGACCTTTTCTAACCCTTCCTTCCTCGTGAGAAGGCAGCATCGCTGCAGATGCTGGTTGTCCGAGGGGAACGCCTCACTGCTGTCACACCCCTCTGCAGTCAGCAGTACGACTTCGCCCTCAGACCTTGAGTAGCTGCTTTTAGTCTCATCGTTCTCCAATCGACCTGCCTGGCATGGTAGGACCTGCAGGAACATATTTTCCAGCCAGTATAGCTCGGTTGGGTGATCACGATAGGCAAGTCCGACCACCACGTCAAGATATCAGCTACGGTGGGGCTCACATGTCAATAGACTGTTTCTATGTAATTAACAAATGCTAGACATTACTGCACTGAATTATAGACAAATTTGATATTCATGTGCAAGTATTTATATGTGAAATATTTGGAAAAGAAATCCTGTCTATATTTGTTCATATTCATTTATTTATAAAGTTTCTGGACCTTCATTCAAAATTAATATTCATACTTTTTAACTGTCATATGTATTTGTAAATGAGATTTATTAATGGGATCAGGATTACTGAGTGAATTATTAACAACGTCAATATGAACTACATTGCATTCATTTAGTTACTATTTGTATCCATTATGGATTTAATCGCCTGTCAGAAACACATAGCTGATTCCCCTATCCAATCGATCGGTAGTTGTTACGTGGATGAATTTGTAAAGTTAAAATTTAAATCAGTTATTTATGTGATCAATTTTTAATCGTGAAATTTTACGTTCATATTTTATACTTTACCCCAACTGTGTTGTTTAACTAAACCGATTTTGTCAACATCCTTTTAACTACAGGCTTTCCTCACATCCTATTCCGAAAACTGTTGACGAATAGAATATCTAAGATAGGGTTACAGTAGAATAAGTCGATATCAATTAAAACTAACAATTTCAGACGAAATTTTATAGCTTTATGTGGACAAAGTTTACAAACTGTTCATGTTCATTGTGTTATGTTGTGTCGATTTGGTCACTATTCGATCTTATTTTTTTTACGTAGTTACTGTGTTCGAGTTCATAAATTATCCCTATCTCTAATGTTTTCATGTTTCTGATCTCTGTCTGTTGAGAAATTTGCTTTCCTTAAAATCAGAATATGTTTCGTGTATCGTTCTTTTCATTGACCCAATCTTATATTTTTTTGTCAGGAGAGAATGATGCATATTCAACGATGGGTAAATCATCTCCCCTGGAATCTGAATAGCGCGTGCGATGCCTCTGGTCGGTCTCATGTACCTTATCCTATCCCCGTTCGTTCTCACATAGATGATGATCGTGAACTAACTCCCCCTCCTGGTCGAACTTACTTAACTAGACTACCATTTACACCTGAGGAACAACAAGCCATGGTTCGATTCTTCCCTTCTCATACAAGTCAGTTTCGTCACCAACATCAAGCACACGCCGTTCCGGATTCTCAGCCTCGGTACCACACCTTCCCTAATCACTGTCCGAATCAACAAACATCCAATAATCATCATTTTTCATCATCCCAAAGGCCTAGTCAGGAAGCCTGTAATGTCTTTCCTTCCGTGAGAAATATTCCCGAGTATGTCAATGAGAATAATCGGAAACGTGGGCATGAAGATATCGGAGGTAGTCGACTTTTTGCAGATTGGGAGACCAGACTTATTAGCCGACTTTTTAAAGAGTTCTTCCACGGAAATCCTAAACCTAATGGTGTATGTGGTACACTGCCCTCTCTTAGTGAGGTTCGATCTCGTATAGCCTCTTCGCGTCTAAAAGAAACAAGAACAGCTACAGCTGTCAGATCCAAAATTCGTCGGATGCAATCATCCGGTACATGGATAAAATATCAATGATAACTATATCTTCCAGCGTTTAAAACCTGAATAATAATCTTTTTGTATTAAATAAGTAATCGTTCTGAATTGCTAAGCACTTGCGGACAACAGTAAAGGAAACCGATAGTGTTGAATATATATATTTCAAATTGGAATTTCGTTTACTCTACGTCATTGTTCTAGTTTTCCAGTCAAACTTCACCAGTTCGTATTTCAAGTGTGTCATTCCAGAGTATGTATGTACGTTCGATCTTTTTAATGAAAACTTACTGTTCACAGAAGTACGAATTCACTAATCACCTGCGATACATTATACATAAAATGTATGTATGCAAAAGCAGTTCACTTGAGACTCATATATGCTGTTTATAGCCCTCGTATCCTCTGATCTTTCGAATATATATATATATATATCCACTTTGCCAATGTTTGGATCTTATCCTTTTTAATATTTAATGTTTACTCGTATTTATTTCCATATTCTTTTTCATTCGTTTGCGGTATTTCGTATAGTATATATATATGATTCATCACCAGCGTTTGGTTTTCAAGTTTTCTTCGTCCTCATAATTTGTACCTTCTATCATGTGTTTTTAGATATCATTTGTGCATATCAACTCTTTTTTGTGTTTGTTTGTTCCCATATCTTGTACGTTAATTTGTTTCTAGAAGGTTATTGCCAGTTATCTTAGTTCTTTTCATATATGTATGTGAAAAACAAGAAATAAATGTAATAAACAGTGTCTCCATTTTGTTTTATAGCAAGGGTGATCTGATTTTCCAGTTTATTGGTAGTTGGTCATAAAAATCACAGTCATCATTTTGCACATCCCTTAAATTTGTTGACTAAATTAAAAAATACACTAATTCACGAAAATTTATTTCTGGTCTCCTGAAACCCCGCCCCAGACTACATGTTGGAGCATTTAATGTACGGACATTGTGTCAAAAAGAGCAACAGGCTTCCTTAGCTAGGACATTAGAATCTCGCGTCATCGAAGTATGCTGCTTCTCGGAAACGCACATACAGGATCCTAGTAAAGTCATTGATTTGATTTCTCCTTGTCAGAATAAAGAGGCAGCTCGATTTACTCTTCGTGTATCAGGTAGCCCTGATGGGATCTCGCCGGCGTAGGTACAGTATTAAATCTTAGGGCAGAACTAGCTATCCTAGACTAGAAAACCAGTAGATAGTCGCTTGTGCGCTAACCAACTAAGCGGGACGGTACGGAATCGGTAGGATAAGGACGCTCGCCGTTGCCTCTTCGTCGTATCTGCCTACGCTCCCACTGACTGACGTAGAGCATAAGTTTTATAGAAACATCTCTAAACTTCTCCAAAATGTTAAGCGCTCAGATATTGTAATAATGGCTGGTGACTGTAATGCTCAAGTAGGTAGACTCAGTGGAAAGACACCTAGATGGATCTTATAGTGTCGCGGCCCATCGAACAGATAATGGCGACCACCGGCTGTAGCTATGCTCAGACAACCGCCTATTCCTAACAAACACTAACTTTAAACATAAGGTAAAACATCTGTTGACCTGGCGACTTCCGAAGCCGACCCGACGATGGACCCAGCTAGACCACACCGTTATAAACCAACGGTGGAGAGGCTTTGTTGAAGACTGCCACCCATTCTGGAGCAATTGTTTAGACTCAGACCATGCTCTAGTGCGAGTGCGTTCTTGTTTGCGCCTTACTGGACGCAAGAAAAGTTTCGCAAGGAAACCTGTTAGGGCTCTACTTAATGATAATAAAGCTAAGAATATATTTCAGGAACAACTAGAAAAACAGTTAGGCAGCCATGTAGTAAGTGATGCCAACCCTGAGGGAGCTTGGAATGATATCAAAAAGGCTGTGGAAACAGCAGTGATATCTTCTAGTAAGGTAAACCTAAGGCTCGGGAGAAGCGGTGGATCTCGGTAGCATCCACCGAACTGATAGAGGCTCGAAAACTCATCCAACCTGGCTCTGAACATGATGAAAAATGAAGTCAACTTCGCCGCAGGTTGATAAAAAGCCTTCGGAATGATCGCGAACAGTGGTGGGTAGTGAAAGCAAGGGAGATGGATAAGGCAACGACGATAGGCAAAAGCAGACTACTATTCAGACTCATCAGGGAAACCGGTTTTAGGAATCCGACTGTTAGTGAGACTATCCCGGAAAACGATGGGCTTATTATTCATTCTCAATACAGGAGATTCGATCGATGGGCAGAATACTTCAGGGATCAGTTCAACTGGTCTTCAGCCACACTTCGGTTGCCCACGATCTCCAGTCATCCTGAATGGCAAATCGATGTAGGTCCTCCGACTCTTTATGAAGTTGAGAGAGCCATAGAAATCTGAAGCAAGGGAGAGCAGCGGGTCCTGATAGACTTACCCCTGAGATTTCCAAGGATGATGGTCCAGTTTCAGCAGCCGAACTGACTGAGATCTTAGGTAGAATCTGGGAACTGGACGTAATTCCATCTGACTGGTCTCAATATCTGATTGCGGTTCTCACTCTCGAAATGCAAAATGGTGCTTCAAAATTGGGTTTCATCGGTACCTGAACTAGTGATAGAGAGTGAAGTAGTCGAACGTGTAGACCGCTTCACTCATCTCGTCAATGCTGTTGTTAGGAAACGGGTGATATGTAAGGATGGAAGATCAAGTGATGAAATAATGAAACTTCATCAGTTGAAATGGTTGGGACATGTGTTGCGTATGCCTAACCACCGACTGTCTCGACGAGCTTTGTTTTGTGGTGTAGGAGTAGGTTGGAAGAAAGTTAGGGGCGGCCAAACCAAAACATGTCAGAAATCCATGAAGTCACTGACAAGTGGACTGAGTCATGTCGGTAGATGTCGACTAACTGTTTGGGGTCCGCGAGATGATAATAATTGATGGTTAGAGACGTTGAACGACATGGCTCAAAACCTTTTGCAGTGGCGCAGGTGTATTTACTCTTTGCGTTCTATGAAATTCTAAACTTCCGAATTCCTCATCATCTCCATCTTTCTCTTTCTAAATTGACCTCACTGAATTATAGTTCTTGATTAACATCTTCGAACCCTAACCTATCCGATTACTTCTAATACTTTTACTACCTCTACTAATATGGGATTTGAATTGACAATTATATCTCTGTACTAATGTGGTATGGCAACTTGAGCTGCTGTACTTACGTGCAAAGTTCTACGTTGCTATTGATGATTGATGATGATTAACATGAGAGAGTAGATACACTGAAAAGTGATTAAGTGTATAATATTTGACAAAGTCCTCACAAACTGAATAAGGAATGGAAAGACGACATAAGAATATGTCTGCGATGATACACCTCTACATTAATCTAAACCACCAGAATGGTAGACTGTTCTTCTAACTGATAATGAAAATAAAAGCTCACCGATTCTTTGGGTTTTGGTGGGAGATAAATAGTGCACTGATCATTAGTATCCAATGGGATGTTAGCTGTTGTAGTAATAGGGGAAATAGTGCATTGCTCACTCACTTGTCCCAGGTTATACGACCAATGCTTCGAAGATATCTATAATCGAAAATCTAATAACCTACAGGTATCCTCTACACTTACTGGCCATATTTCTCACCCATAGCTTAGGACGGAACGAACGTCTGCGCAGTACATCGGTCCTCTAGTAAACAAACGCACATCTCGCCGGCGCCATAAGTGAGGCCAGTAGGCAGAAGCGAACTAAGGCTTTTGTATCCGTACAGAGATTTCGTCAGTCACCAGGCTATCAGCACTGATGAGACTCCCCAGATAAGTGAAGCGGTCTACACGTTCGGCTACATCACTAACTACCACCAATTCAGGTGTTGATGCTAGACAATCCCGAAGCAGCACTTTGCATTTCGAAGGGGATAATCGCATGCCAAACGTGCTTGCATTGTTGCGTAAAGTGTTAAGAAGACTGAATTTTATTAGCGTCTTCACCAAATAGAACTATGCCATCGTCATATTCTAAGCCAACTAGTGAATCTCCTGATAGAAGTTCAACTCCTACAAAGTCAGACAATGACAGTATCATCTCTAAAAGCATCTCAATAACAGAGTTGAGTAAGAACGGAGAATGTGGACATCCTTGATAAATACCACTGGAGGTGATCAATTACGATGACAGTTCGCCATAAGCTCTCACTTGACCGGTAGTGTTTTAGTAGAGGTTGTATAAGTTAAATGTACTTCTCTGGTACACTTTTCAATGACAGACACTGCCATAGAACCTCACAATCGGCAGAGTCAAGTGCTGCCTCAAGGTCAAGTAATACAACTGTTGTCGGACGTGTAACTGTGTGTCTATGTTCTAGGACCTGTCGTAGTGTGAAGATGCGGTCTATGCAGCCACGTCCGGGTCTGAAACTTGCCTTGTTTTCTCTAGTCTGCTCTTCACGAGCTCTAGTTAGGCGTCTGAGTATAATCGAGGTTGATAATGTAGACACTAAATTAGTTAGCCTGATTCTCCTGTGATTGTCACAAGAGGACTTTTGTCCTTTCTTATAATTTGGGACAATCAAGGATTGAGACCAGTCAGATGGAATTACGTCCAGTTCTCGAATTCTACCTAAGAACTCACTCACTCTAACGGCTAAAAGTGATACACCGTCATTGAAAATTTCAGGTGTCAATCTCTCTGTGACTGCTACTCTCTATCGTTTCATATTTACTAGAGCCTTTTCATCCTAAACAAGATTTGGATGATTTAGGTCGATTTGCCATTCAGGATGACTGGAGATCGTGGGCAACCGAAGTGTGGCTGAAGACCAGTTGAACTGATCCTTGAAGTATTCTGCCCATCGATCGAATCTCCTGTATTGAGAATGAATAATAAGCCCATCGTTTTCCGGGATAGTCTCACTAACAGTCGGATTCCTAAAACCGGTTTCCCTGATGAGTCTGAATAGTAGTCTGCTTTTGCCTATCGTCGTTGCCTTATCCGTCTCCCTTGCTTTCACTACCCACCATTGTTCGCGATCATTGCGTATGCTTTTATCAAGCAGAACCTGCGC